AAGCTCAGGGACAGTGCCCAGGCCCTGAGTTCAAGCGCATGGACTGGCCAACATGTTAATGTAACACAATATACATTAAAGCAACTACTTGTAATCTACTATACAAAAACTTTATAAAAGGGATAGTCATTTCCATTATTTTTTCTTAATGGCCCAATTTTGGCCTGGAAATAATGCATGGCAACTGATGGTGAAATACCATAAGCTAAATACTGTGACTTGTGACCTAATTGATAGTTATTTGGTCTCTGTCTCTGTTTCCTGAGATAGAGCTCCTGAAACTCCTGAGTGGTAGGAGTAGAAGTGGTAGGAGTTACTAACTCCCTAAGAAGTTCCTGAGTGTCAGGAGCAATTTTGTTGTTGTTGTTGTTGCTCTAGTAAGATTCTTAGAAAAGGTCCTGGGTAGTCACAGGATGAGGTTTGGTGACCAGAGACTAAGCCATGATTAGCAGCTTGAAAGTCTTCGCCGCCTAGTCAGCAGGTTGCAGAGAAAGGCTGGAGATTCAGTCATGATCTATCACACCTGTGCTGTGAAGCTTTCTGGAGACACAACCATCTCCTGGGAACATGGAGCCCTCCAGCTCAGCAAGGACAGAGATTTTTTTTCCCTCCAGGATGACTCCCGGTCTACACCTAGTTCTAGATACCTTTCATCTAAGTTCTTTTGTGTTAATTTTGCTTTCCTTTTTATTTATTGGTGCATATTCATTGTACCAAGGGGTTTCAAATGGTTTTTCACATGGGCCCATAGTATGTTTTAATTAGAATAACATTATCAGTTTTTTTCTTTCCCTAACTACATTTGGGGGTTTTCTTAGAGGTCCTCATTTGTGTTTTTCTAAAAGAATAACTTTTTTGCTTAATTTAATTTTATAGTCAAGATTATTGTTACAGGGGCTGGGAAGGTGGTTCAGTGGTAGAGCGCTTGCCTTGCATGCTCGAGGCCCTGGGTTCAATTCCTCAGCTCCACATAAGCAAAAAGAAAAAAGCCGGAAGTGGCACTGTGGCTCAAGTGATAGAGTGCTAGCCTTGAGCTGAAGAGCTGAGGGACAGTGCCCAGGCCCAGAGTTCAGGCGCCACGACCGGACCAAAAAAAAAAAAAAA